CCCACCCTGCTCAAGCAGGGTCACCTCAAGCAGGTCACCCACGACCACGTCGAGAACACACTTGAATTTATTTGAGGAGGGAGACTCCACAACCGCTCTGGGTAACCGGCTCCACTGCTCAGTCACCCTCGAGGTAAAAAGTGTTCCCCTGTGTTCAGGGGGAACCTCCTGCTTTTCAGTGTGTGCCTGCTGCCCGTGGGCCTGTCACGGGGCACCACTGAAAAGAGCCTGTCTTTGTCCCGTTTGCATCCTCCCTTCTAATATTTGTGCACATTGATGAGATCCCTGCAAGCCTTCTCTTCTCCAGCCTGAACTGTCCCAGCTCTCTCAGCCTCCTCTCCTCCTCCAGCAGATATTAGGGTGGTTGAAGTCCCCCGTGAGGATCAGTGCCTCTGAACATGAGGCTACTTCCAGCTGTTAGCTCTCAGCTCCATTCAGTTTTTCACGTGTAAGCATCTAAGGCCGTCTGAGACACCCCGGTGTAGCCAAGGCATCTGTCTACTCAGGGCTAGCAGATACGACACAGGAACAGTAGAAGATCCAGCACCTACTGGAATGCCATCTGGGTGACAGAGAGGACAGATAGAGGAGGCCTCTCTAGTGCATGGACAAGTGAATTGCTCCTTGGGTCTTTGCTTTAGAGTGAGCCAAATTGCTTATTAATTTCCAGTGATTGTACTGACCGGGGATGGGATTCAGCTGCCTGTCATGGGTATCTGCACAGAATATGGACTGAATGTCACATGCCAGAGACCTTCATGGTCTGCTGAGAATGGCACTTGGCTGTGCCCTGCATAAGTGGGGATTGCATTTAGTGTTCTACTAGTCTGCAGTTCCTTCACATTCCTTCCTCACCTAGTTTGTTGATTTAGGTACATTTTCAGGCTTACAAGCATATGTTGCTCATATGAATAGATACTACAGTCAAGGACATCAGCTTTATTAGAAAACAGCAGAAACTTGTCAAACATTGTTAACTCGGAGAATGTAGTATTTTCAAGGTACTCAAAATATATTAAATCCACCCCTGTGTGCTAACAGGAAAAAATTTATCTCACCATGTAGAAGAGTTGCAACTGACAGCCCACAAAAAGTAGAATTTGGGGAGCTATATTTATCTGGTGTTTGGACTACTTTACAGCTTTAATTAGATTTTATATCTGCAACAATTTCCCATATATTTGCTATTTTATAAATAGTTTATAAAAAGCAGTCCTTTGTCAGTCCTTAGAGGTCTGATCACAAATGTTGCTTGCACTCAGTGAATAATAAGAATGGACTAGACTAGACTAGACTAGTTCAATTTGGTTGGAAGGGACCTACAACGATTATCTAGTCCAACTGTTCAGACTGAATTGAATCAGGCCCTGCGATTTCAGCTGTCATTAGACACATATGTAGCATCTGTCCATTTGTAAACCCCATGTAAAAAGAGCAAAATTAATAGAAGTGACAAATCAACATAGAACTGGACACTTGTGTACATGAAACAAGCTTTGATAGCTTAATAGTTGGCATGCGTACAAAGGAAAATACCCGTCTAGCCACTTCTGTGGCAGCAGAGGTTGAATAGTTTGGGTGTTGTCTTAAGACATAAAACCTTGAACTTTATACTCCCTAATTTATTAACACTGGGAAAGTAAGTTTATCATACACTTCTGACAGGAAATACGTACTTATTCCACCCAGAAATACGTTCACATTTCACATCACCTTAATATGAAATTTTTCAAAGGAGAAATCTAGATGCTTCTTTTACTTGGAATTGGTGGGAGAGCTCCCTGGCCAGTGTTTCCTAAGTTTTGTCCTTAAAAGAGAGGTGAACACATGTATCAAAGTCTGAATTCTTTCTTAGAGAGGTAGATTAAACATGGTATTGATTCATAGCTATTTTTATTACTGAGCATTTTTGCTGGTTTAGGCTTTTGCCTTAAGTAGTATATGCTTATTAGGTACATATCACTGAAATTACTATTTTTAATACAGCAGACTGCATTAGCCTGGGCATCCCTCCCACAATTACCCTCACTGATGGACATACATGGATAAGAGATTCTAGAATGTTGTGAAGCATGATTGAGAGAGATACACAGTTTAACTCTGGGTAAAGCCACACCAGTGATTTTTTTTTTTATGTTTCCTAGTATTTCTAATTCCAGTAGTTGTAGCCTGCTTATGCATACTGCCCATCTGTGTAAAGTACCATTTATCACCGTTGTTCTAGTACAGATTTTGCTTTGCTGTCCCTAAATATACTATGCACAGTGCCAGCTCAGGTCTTTGTACCATAGGCAAGAGAGAAGTTGGTGGTGGGTAGCTGAAAATTGACAGTACCTAATAAATCAAAATGGACATGTTTTAACTAAAATGCATGTCAAATGTTGTTAGTTGACTTTGAGTATTCCTTCCAGGTAGGGGAAAATTGTGGATTGGGAAGAAATGAGAAGGGTGGGAACAATAACTGTTGGAGGTGGGAAGGAGAGGAATGAAAAGAGGTGGTAGGGCAGGGATGGAGGGGAGATTTAATTCCAATAATCCTGCAAAATCTTCATTTGAAACTAGAAGCAAGTGAGCTCTTCCCTGGCAGTGTAGCTGTATATTTAGGTTTGTACCTCTCCCTGTGTGTGCTTTATGTCCTATAGAAGGAAGTTGTCTTCATCAAATGTTAACTAACCAGTTATCCCATTTTCCTCCCATTATAATTTGAATGCAGTCTTATTAATTTGTGTCTTAAATGCTATATCTGGTCTTTGTTAATTGCTGCTGTCTTCCATCCTTGTCGCAACATTGTCATTAGCAGATGAAGTAGTTGTGCAATCTTGTTTGAAAGACAATTGTTAGAAATAAAAGGAGTAAGGATGAGAGAAATAATTTTATGGTTTATACTCTTACATTTTTGTTTCATTTACATTTTTAACTGGTTCCCACTTGCCTGAGCTGTTTGGAGCCCATTTGAATTATATCTTTCAGAATAATTTTATCTTGCTATTAAAAATGATCCTTTTATCTTTTTCACAATTAATGAGGGAAGAAAATGCTATTCTGCAGTTTTTGATGATTTGCCAAATGTCTCTGCTTCATTCCTTGCATCAAGGAAGTTTATGTCCATTGTGTAAAATCAGTGAAATTAGGTCACAGCTTTTCATTGGCATGCTTTTTCAGGAAAGTTTAAATGTTGCTGAAAATGTTACTTCCAATAGGAAAATTAGGGTTCCCTAGCTGCCTATCTGGAGGTTTCTTGGCAACATAACATTTTTCTTGCTGAGAGAAAGCAAAACTTGGTAAGATCTTTGTGGACAGACAGCTGGCAGGCTGAAGGAACCACTTTCAATTATCCTGAGATTTTTGCTTGGGTATCTCTTCCTAAGAAGAAACTCATATTCTCTTAGCTTTTGCATGAACCTGGAGTGTGCATGTGTGTGTGTGTTTGTGTATGTATAAATTCATGGATGTTTTTGTAGAAGTGGATTTTCATTCTCCAGAAAGCTTTGCATGCAAGTGGCTTTAACAACCATTCATCTCCCTTCCTGCTCTGAGGACACTTTTTAGCAGAACTAACTACTTCAGGGAAGGGTCTGCTATTAAGTAGGTGTTCTGTACCTCTGTTGTCTTCAGAACATGTGAATGGTGCCTCTGGAATGACAGATAATACTAGTCCAAATAGTAGCTTGGATTGTTTCTCATTTTAATCTAATTTTAGTTCAGTGAACAGTGATTGAAATCATTAATCATATTATCTTAAAGATATTTTGCTTCCTTTCTACTGATTTAATGAGTTTCAGGTTATTGAGAAGTAATGGCGATTACACAAGTCTCAAATTCTTGAACTGAACTTCAAACTTTAAGAATAGCTGATCAAAAGTTTTCTAAAATTGCTAGAAACAAGTTCTTGCTTGCTTTCTGGTTTAGATTCATGCTTCCAAAACCCTCTTTTATGTTTGATGTTCAGATTCTTGCTTTCTACATAAAGGGGAGTAGACATTTTCCTATGGTATTTAATATCTGACACAGACTGTAAACAATATCATAATGGAATCAAGAGAGCTAGCAGCATCATCTGGGTAGTATACCAGACTGGCCTGTTCACCAAAAGACAGAAGCTTAGCAAGCTATTTAAGAACAGACAGAAAAAATATATGTGAAGCTTCCACACACGCACAGTTAAGAGTGACCTTTAGGTGGTGGTTACAGGCAGTAGTGCTAGCTAGAAGCCCATTCAAACTGGACTTCTATGATTCAGTGGCCTGCAGAGGGACTGAGAGTCTCAAATACGGTGGTAGTTTTGACATCTGGGCAACAGTCCTGACAAGGATTGGCCTGAGATCGAGGAGCTAGTCTGAACACAAGGCTGCATATCAGGCTGTGAAAATCAGTGGCTTTCATTCTCTATGATCTGTAACTGAAATGGGACCACTGAACTGAGGAATGCTTCAAAGTCTGTTCCTTAACACATCAATGTTCTCATCTGCCTCTGTCTTCTGGTTTGCAACTGTGATCTGGTAGTGAAAAGCCTCCATTACTCTGGTAGCCCATACTTGACTTTTTTCCCGAGGCAAAGAATCATGATCCGGGGGAGAAGCAGAAGAGAGGTAGTGTGCTCTGCTTTTGCTCAGACCACTGTCACATTGTCCAAGCATACTCCTAGGACAAGGCAGTGGCACTGAACATTTTCTCTTCTTGCATGTTAAAATGGCAAAATTGAAGATCAGAATAATGTTCCAGCTACAATATAGATAATTCCATAATTCCTGTGCATGATCAGTTGGATGTGGATTTCTTCATTTTCTTTCTGTCCAAGTTGTCAGTGACTGTATCTCCCAGTAGAGGAGAATTATACCTGGATTTTTTCTGGTTAGTTTATCAAGTACTTCATAATGCAAATTAAGGGAAATTAAAGGAAGAGCTGACCTGACTTATTGACTCATCATAATGGATATTCAATTATAGTTCATTGTTAAGCTTATCCCTTTGCAATGTCTCTTTCCTCTCTTTTATTCTAGTCCCCTCTGCTGTCCCTATGATGCATCAGGTGAGTTGTACTACTAGTAGCATCACACTATTATGGCCTCAGCCAGACCAGCCCAATGGGATCATCCTGGATTACCAGTTACGCTACTTTGACAAGGTGAGCAGAAAGTGATGCAGTGCAGTCTATCTGCATTTCCCAACTTGGAACCACCTAGGGATAAAGCAAATAAAAAAAGAGAAGACACTTATAGCTATGCTAAAAAACTGCGGCTAACAACCTGAGTTTAGCACTAGCTGACACAGATAACAGTGGAAGGAGCTGAAGTTTCCAGATGTATATATTGGAATTGAACTCACTGCAACATTCTGTCATGTGTTTGTGGAGGGACATCCCATGTCCCCGTTTATGCCTGGACAGACATCTCTAAGAAATTTTGGGAGGAGAAATGCACTCTCATTCACTGAGTGGTGGATATCAGCTACCTGTTTATGTGCTGGAACTACATGATGGCAAATAGAAACCTATTTCTCATCATTCTCATCTTCAGTGACTCCTATTCCAACTGGTTGGAGGGCAAGAGGTATACAGGGCTGTTCAAGACAAGCTCCCATTCTATATCCTTGGTTTTTCACATAAATATTTTTGCAAGATTGTGCAGGGCTACTGTTTTTCTAGCAGTAAAAGGGCCTGCTATTTGTAATAACATGTCTAGCAGCTTCCTGGATATAGCATTACATGTGTTATCGCTCTTGATTCACCTAGGTGAATACATGAATTTGAAGCTTATATAAAGTAAAATTTCAGTACAGGCTAGGGCTTTATTGTGGATATGCTTACCAAGAAACCACAGGACAGGGTAGTTTTGTCTCTCACTCTTGTCTAGGTCAGGACTGAGGGTCTTTCACAGAGCTTTGTGGGAAGCCCAGGCCTAAGAGAATGAAAAGCAGCAGTGAGGAGCAACAAGTAGCGTGTGAGGAAGTCAGGTCTGGAATAGAAGTTGTGGTTGGGAGGCTCTATAACAGATTCAAGGAATATTGGGCTGACACGGAAACTAGCATTCCTTGATGAGGAGAATGAGCATCGTGTGCAGAAGTCTCACATTCCTTTTGGTCACTGACATTCGCAGGCAGAAGATGAGGATAATTCGTTCACCTTGACAAGTGAAACCAACATGGCCACCATATCAAATCTGAGTCCAGGAAAGATCTATGTCTTCCAAATACGAGCTAGAACAGCAGTGGGCTATGGCCCATACAGTGGAAAGATGTATTTCCAGACTTTAATGGGAGGTAAGTGCTACCATTTGTACTTAGATCTGCACATGACCATCTTTCACTGGTGTGTGTCCCTGAGTGTATTAGCTTATCCTCTGGAGGGCTGCTACCAGACACTCCTACTCAACTTGTATTTCTGTATATCGTAATTTGAAGATACAAATTTGTTCACTCATATAAGCTTTATGCTGCCAAAGCACACTGTTTATACTACCACCATATCCCCCAGTCCTACTCCTTGTTGCTTCTGAGCCTCTGACCAGCAGGAACAGTGTGTCAGCAGTACTCTCTTTCGGAGGGTGTTACAGTACATAGCACTATACACTGCTGTAGTTTGGCCTCCAGCTGTCACAGGACATCTTACACCTGAATGCTCTGAGAAAGTCTGAAAGACAGGTGGGACGCAGGACATATACCCAGAAGCTTGCCTTCCAAGTGTATCACTCTATTCATGCAGAGAGCAACATACTACCTTGTGATGCTCTTTGGCCTGGATCAAAGGTACTCATGTTATGTCATCTACAAGCTAAATTAATAAGGGACAATGGGATCAAAGCCCAGGTGTAGAGATAGCCTGATATTTAGACAGCTAGTCAGGTGTCAGTGGACCATGGGAAGGAAAAGTGGCTTCAGAGGAAGCACTAATTTTCAGAAGTAGGAAGGAAGGCACTGAAGAAGCACAGTGACTGAAGGGGTAAAGGGATAACCAAGTCAAGCATTAGCCTGGGAAGCAAAGGGCTATTAGGGATGGAATTGTGGGTGAGACCTAGTTGAGTAGAAGAGAAACTCTAACAGTTCTTGTCCTCTGCATTTGTGTGTGTATGCATGTGTCTTCCTTGCTAGGGGAGCACTCGGAGATGGTGCAGGATCGACTGCCGCTTATCGTGGGCTCAGCGCTCAGTGGTCTAGCCTTCTTGGTAATTGCTGCCATTGCCATCCTCGCCATCATCTTCAAGAGGTGAATTCCTTGACCTGCTCATGTACACTGCAGACAGTGGAACTTTCTTACCCCCACTACATAACCCCATCCAAAGGGAAACAGCCTGGTCTACATTTTTCCGGATGTCCTTGAGATGCCATTTTCTAATTAAGGAAAGATCCTACCCCATTACTTCTATCTGAGGAGCCTCTCCTCTGGTGAACTGCTTGTGTACTTAGCTGATATTTAGCTAGTTAGCAACATGAACACAAGGGAAGCATTTTAAAGCTGGTGCTCAAAAGGTATTTAAATGCATCACTGTAAAGAAGGGACTGCAAATTTCATTTTAGGCAAGCAAGTGGAGAATGAAACAGTGTAGTGAAGAAAGACTGGTGGAATAAGTATTTAGATCCACTTATTTAGAAGGTGCTAAATACCCTTTAACCAAGAACAAAGAGGCAATAACTCCTTTGCTGAAGAATAAAATGTGTGCCACCCCAGTGGTTCCATGGAACACTAACTCATAAAATATAGGTTAAAGAAAGCAAACACTACTTTCCATTTTGGAAAGATAAAAGGGCAGATAAGTCAATAATACATTATGGCAAAAAAGGACAGGAATTTTAAAGAGCAAGAAAAGTTAAGGATCACTACTTTTGTAAAGGTACAAAGGTAACAATGGGGGTTTTGTTATTTGAAGAAAAGACACAGTCATTACCCACTCCTTGAATTTCTGAGGTTTGAACTTAATCCCCTAGATTGTCAGTAATGGATTTCTGTATCTTTGCTCTACTCTGCCTCTGCATAAGTGGTACTTCTTAGCTTTTTCTGTTGACTTAAAAAAATGTATATATTACTTAACTTTAGAAAGTGACATCTAGATTTAGTTATTTCTTTTTTGTTCTCCTCCCTTTTCTACATTTGTTTTCTCCTTCTGTGTATATTCTCTTTTAATATTTTTCCTTCTGGATAGAAAAGAATTATGAAATATTGTTATATTTGCAGTGTTCCCTCCTTTTGTAGCTTTGAACTGTTAAAAATTCAATTTCTTGTTACAGCTGGAAGTGTGATATTATGTGCACAACTCAATGAAGCGTATATTTTTCTAAAAAAAAAAATAAACCAAACCCAGAATAAATATTACCAAAACCGCATTGGGAAAGGACATTAGTGGGCTTCTGTAAATGCATCTACATAAAAAGAAGTATCATAAAAAATAGTTACATTTATACTTGAAGGCTTATGTCTGGTTAACAGACAGCTGTTCAGAAAAAGTGGAGATACCAAATTTCTGTTTTAAATTTGTCCTTGATAAGAAAGTTAAGTTTGAAGATGTAGGACATGAGGAATTCCACATGAAATGAATAGTTCCTTAAAAGGTTGAATATATGTAGAGTCAAATGCTATAACTTTAGCTTGTTTTTGTAAACTGTTGGTACACATTTGCCAGGCAATATACAATGTGAAACACCTATTTTAGCTGATTGGGTTTCTTTTTAATGATGGAAAACTATTAGTATGTCAGATAACCTATTAAAAAACCCATAAGTGTAGACCTGGCTTCCAGATGAAACAGCAGAGTTAGAGCTCTTAGGCATAGGCCCCCGGTAAAGCCAATTTCTTTCCACCACAGAACAGATTTTGAAGGTACAACTATTTGTGGTTTTGCAGTCTTAGCAGAATTGGAAGATATAAGCCTGACAAGTAATACACAAAGTTACCTGTTAGAATGACAAAATTAGTTATGTTAGTAAAGAGAATTTACATAATGTTTCATGATTCTGTGTCCTTAGAGGCTAATTGAATCATCATCTAGAAGGTCTTGGGCTGAAACAGCAAAGTATATGAATTGACACAAATCCATGCATACAGCAGGGATACTACAGGATACAACGAAGTTTGATTTACAATCTAGTCTAATTAATATGATTTAGAAAATATTGTAAATCAGCATGAATTGTACATTTTTGGAAAAAAAAAATATATTATCACTGTTGGGAACAAAAGAAGTGACTTGAAAATGGAAAATATGTTTAGAGCAAACCAAGAATAGGATGAAACTTATAAAACAGCCAGATCATGTGGGAAAAAATTGCCTGAATCACATACATTTAAGAGGAAAATGACTTCTAAGAAATGCTTATGCTGAGAAGGACCTATGTTTACTGGAAATTAGACGCATATATAGAATAAATATTACAGTAATAAAGACCGTATGTGTTTTGATCTGCACATGGAAAAATCACATCATGGAACAGATTTCTGTTCTGTGTGGTTGGTTTTGAGTACCATACTTGTGAAAAAACTTGTCAAAGTAAATGCTGTAAAGAGACCAGGAGGAAAAATAAAGAATTGATCTTTGGGGTAAAGTTGTACAAATTAAGCATTAGAGTAAATGGCTCTTAGAATGTTTTTGAAGAACTTAAAAGCCATCACAGGAGATGGTTTAGATTAGTATTGAATAATTTGTCACAATTGGATGGAATTAAAATGCAAAATTAGCCTGAATAGCAAGAAAACTTTCAAGACAGTAATGTTAAACTGTAATATTTTTCTTTCAGGATAAGGCTGGAGGCTCCATCATTTGTCGTATCTAAAGTGGGGATGCAAACAGTGGTGTAAAAACTACCACATAGAAAACAAGCATGCACTGCTTGCCAAGAGATGGGCAGGATATTAACGCCCATCTTCTATCCCTAAATTCAAGGATTCTCTGAGTCTTGCATTGAGAAGCCTACCCCAGCATCCTATGAGTGACTCTTGTGTGTAACTTTCCTTTCCTTTATGTCCTGCAGTAAAAGACGAGAGACTCCATATACAGACCATCTGCAGCAGTATATCAGTTCACGAGGTAAGAGTTCTTAAGCAACAGATGGCAAGGGCCAATCTCTTTTCAGGTCTTGTTAACACCCATGTCTCTCAGGGTTTGATTCTGGTGATGTTTTGGGCTGTCTCATCCACTGCAGGACTTGGAGTGAAATATTACATTGATCCGTCAACCTGTGAAGATCCCAATGAAGCTATTCGAGAATTTGCCAAGGAGATTGATGTGTCCTTCATCAAAATTGAGGAGGTCATTGGATCAGGTAGTGTGAGACTGCAGATTTTGAAGTGCCTTCTTTTTCACCTTGCAATCTGGCACTCTACTGACCTGAAATGGACTGAACCATGGTACATCAAGTGTCTCAGGATAGATAATCATAATTTTTACCAAAATTAATCTGCTGACCCTTAGATACTGGCTCCAAACCAACTTTAGAACACCCTTTGAAGATTCAGAACTCTTGATTTGAACCCTGAAGATGTAGTCTCCAATCTGAGCCTTCATCAAGAACTTTAATCTAATCCAAACAGTCCTAGTAACCCTATTTCCAAGCAGCACCTGGAGTCTTCCACAGTAGTATGTTTTAGTGCACCTGACCAAAATTCTTTCCTGTGTTTCCTTACTTGAGATGTGTTTCTTCCCTCCCTGACAGGAGAGTTTGGAGAGGTGTGCTTTGGGCGCCTAAAACACCCAGGGAGGCGTGAATACACAGTAGCTATTAAGACCCTGAAGTCAGGTTATACAGATGAACAGCGGCGGGAGTTCCTGAGTGAGGCCAGCATCATGGGGCAATTTGAGCATCCCAATGTCATCCACCTGGAGGGTGTGGTCACCAAGAGCCGACCAGTCATGATTGTCACAGAGTTCATGGAGAATGGATCCCTGGATTCCTTCCTCAGGGTACCACAACCAGAGTCTCCCACAACCGTTACCTCTTCGTCTTGCTGTGTACCAGCCTCAGATCTGATAATTTTGCCTGTCCTTCCTCTTCACTTAAGTCTCTTTAAGTCCTCAGTTGCCCTCTTCAGGTGCCATAGAAATAATAGCAAATTACCAGAGTAAGTGGGTTTGGGCTAACATGGCGAAAATACTCCAAAAGCTCATCCATCGTGTAAAATTTCTTCATTATTTTAGACTTCTCCAGATCAAATAATTAATGGTAAACAGTACTAAATTGTTTATCTTTGTGTTCATCCTCCCAAGTTTGCCTTTCTAATAATGTTTTTCAGACTTTATTCCACTGAATATTTTCAAGTTTCAACATTGCAACGAAGTAGTGAGACTTGCAGTTATTTTTGGACTCAGTTTCCAGTATTTTTTCTAGTAATGAAACAAATACAGACATTTTCGTAGTATAGATGCATCACTTCTTTTTTTTTTTTTACTGATTCATATGCTAATTCAACCATAAATGATTTAGCAGGTACATTTTGAAGACCACATGAACTCATTGTGTAGAATTGCATAGAACCCATTGTAAAGATGTTAAAACTGTAAGAGCAGATTTGTCTGCTGCATTCATTTAGCCATCTTAGTAGTTAATGAGACTAGGAGGATATGGCCACAAGGTGAGATTTATCTTCAGAAAAAGATCATCAGTGTCTGACTTCATTTGAGATTCATTGTTGTAAGCCCACCCTCCTTTCTTATTTGCTGTCTCTGAACCTTCAGGTTTTGGCTGAAGTTAAGCTGTATGTTCTTTAACTTCATAAATCTACCCTGTTACCTTGCTCTTTGTTAGTCTTCCCTGTTGGCGTCACGGTCTGTGGTCATAAAAGCCTGTTTGCCTCCTCACTTGCAGCAGAAGGAGGGACAGTTCAGTGTGTTACAGCTGGTGGGAATGCTACGGGGGATTGCAGCTGGCATGCGCTACCTTTCGGACATGAACTATGTGCATCGTGACCTGGCAGCACGTAACATCTTAGTCAACAGTAACCTTGTGTGCAAGGTGTCAGACTTTGGTTTGTCCCGTTTTCTGGAGGACGATGCTTCAAATCCCACCTATACTGGAGCTCCGGTGAGTTACTGCTATGGAGTGAGTTTCTGCAGTGCTGCCAGCTGTAAGTTCTTCCTGTGTTCCTGCTTGATTTGGTGTACCCTTTTTAGTTCATCTTGAGAGCAGAGAGACCAGTGGGGTAGCGCCTTCTATATTGTGGGCTATCTGTTCCAAACCAGTAAAAAAGAAAAATGACTGAATAGCTGATTCACTCTGCCGTGTGAAAGGGAGTCTCAGTGACATTCTTCGTGGAATGATATTGAATAGGACAAACCTCATAACCTGATGTAGGTGTTATCTTTCCCCTTTTATTAGCTTCTTACGGGAAGTATAAAGGACTGAAGGGGAGATTGAAGTTCTGTACTACCACCCTCTGAGGAAAGACTTGTTTTTTTCCTACCGAAAAGATAACCCGCAGAATTATATTTATGGGTTTACAAGCAACCATCAAATTAACTTATTGCCTGTGAAGTTCTGACACCTCTTACACATACTATAAAAGGGGTGGGAGTATAACAGGAGGGTTGAAACTGCCATTTGGTATGCAAGGGATGAACAAGAGTTCAGTCACTGGAAAAGGAAGCAAGTTTTAGATGTATGTGTTTTGAAGAACCAACACCTGAATGATAATTCATCTGGCAAGTCACACCTGCAGTCAGAGAGTTCAAGACGGAAAGAGGAAGGAGTTAATGCTAGGCAGTCAGTGTGTCTGTCCTTGGTGTTGCAGGTTGGAATTGTTTAAATGGCTTTAGATTTTCAAATGATTGTGACTTTCAGGAGGATTTTACTATCTGCCCCCTTTCAAATGCTGGAAAGAGCTATAAAAGCTAAAAATGTATTACATCATGGGATTTGTAGGAGCAAGGAGGCACAATTTTTTTCATTTTCATTTGTCAATAGAACAAGGGGGAAACCTTAAACATAGTTTGAATTTAAACAATGTATACAAGATGGCATCAACTGGACTGGCACTCCATGCTCAGAGTTGTGTCATGCTACTGGCATCTGATCAGTTCAGTGGTGTCATTTTCACAAACAGTTCTTATCTCATTAACATTCTGGTTGCTCTCTGGCTCCTTTCTAGGGCTGCAAAATCCCCATCCGTTGGACTGCCCCTGAAGCTATCCAGTATCGCAAGTTCACCTCCTCCAGCGATGTCTGGAGCTATGGCATTGTCATGTGGGAGGTGATGTCCTATGGTGAGAGGCCTTACTGGGACATGTCCAATCAGGATGTAAGTTTTAGAAGTGGTGAGAATGTACATCTGCCTCTCTGTCCTGTATCTGTTCAAGTAGAAGAGAGTTATACACCACCAACTGATTGAAACTTGTTTGTCTTTTATTTTCCCAGCTGTGATAAAGCTTTATTCTTCTTTTCCTGCAGGTAATTAATGCCATTGACCAGGACTATCGCCTGCCACCACCCCTGGACTGTCCAACTGTTTTGCACTTGCTGATGCTGGACTGCTGGCAGAAGGAATGGGTCCAGAGACCCAAATTTGAGCAAATAGTCAGTGCTCTGGATAAAATGATCCGCAAGCCATCTACCCTCAAAGCCACTGGCACTGGGAGCAGCAGGTGAGATGAGGATTTAATGCAAAGTGATAGGGCTTGTCTCTCGATAGGCATCATGAGGAAAAGAAAGCAGTAAATCAGACTATATAATATTTTTTCCAACCCTCTCTTCTGAGACTGGGAACAAATAGGAAGGAAAAAAAAAAAGCGGAAGAGTGTTGGAAGAACTGTATATCCTGATTCACTTAATGGGTGATGAGTTGTGAGTACTGAATGTGAAGGGGGATAAATCTCTTGATGAGGTGCACTGAGGATGAATGAGTGAGGGATCATAGGTAGTGAAGGGAGGGACACGTCTGGGTACAGCTACACAAGATATTCTGTGATAATGTGTGATCACAAGATAATATGAAAGAGAAGACCTTATCTTATGGAGGGAAGGAAATCCATAGTGAAGAGTAGAACTGCAATGCATCCCATATTTTCCCAACTGCATTTTGCAGCCTGGTAGAACCAGAGGTTGGCAAAGGATAAGTCTCTGGGGATATAAACAGCACCAAGATTAGATGGCTGTTGGGCTGATGACGGAATTACATCCTGCTGGTCTGGAGGGTTTTTCCGGTGGTTACAAACCTCGTCTCAGTGGAATGTACTCCATAGCTGTGGGAGGGTAAAAGTGCTTAGTCATGCCCAGTTTAGTAAAAACAGCACATGAACAGTTAGAGCTTTGGGGAAGATTCAGATGATAGGGGAAAGGGCAAATGCCATGTATAAACAGTAATTTCTTTGGCCTTTCACTGCTATGCTTTTATCTGATGAGTGTTGGAACTGAAACAACACACTCATTGTGTCATAGGTTACTTTCTCTTCCAAGGATCTAGGAGAGAGAGCTAGTCACAAAGGTAAAAAGGTATAAGATCTCATCTATGCCTCAGAAACCTCCTCACTGCAACTCGTTGCCCAGCTAATAGGTCTAGACCCAGAAAGTGTGGAAGGATCTGGGGCAACAAGAAGAGAATGTGCCTGATAGAGTATAAAATGGGAAGGGGAAATTTCTTGGGTTGGGTTGACTGTTTTCAGTCAGAAGAGGGAATATTATATAGGTAGTCTAGAAACAGGACATCAAGGCGGGACTTTAGGAATCAGGGCATGAAGAACAAATACCATGCTGTGCTCCTCAGAGGTTGCATTCTTGCCCTCTCACAAGTTACTAGTGTGGGCAGCTGATGTTGATAACTTGGGTTTTTAGAACCTGCCTCTTTTGCAGACCACCTCAGCCTCTCCTGAGCAACTGTTCTCCAGATTTCCCTTCACTCAGCAATGCCCATGAGTGGTTGGATGCTATCAAGATGAGCCGTTACAAAGAGAATTTTGACCAGGCTGGTCTGATTACATTTGATGTCATATCACGCATGACTCTCGAGTAAGTAGAAAGGCAGAGAGCAGAAGATACCAGAAACTGAGTTTTCCATGCAAAAAATGAAAACAGTCTGAGAAATATTTAGTAAGGTCTGTATGGAGAATATATACACATGAAAAAGGAAAGGGAAACCAGAGCAAAGTAGCTACTGCTTCTTACATCTTCTGTGGGCCTCTGGACACCCTCCATACCACTGTACATTTTTAATCTGTTTCTATAAGCATTAATATTGATCCTGTGTACACTCCAAAACATATTCTCAGTGTTGCAGAGAGACTGTTACATCAGAATGGTCATGACACCTGCCACAGGTAATAACCACTTTTAAAGAGGTGACTAGCCGTACCATATAGTGGGTTGAAGTGGAATGTAGAAGACAGGAGCCAGGAAAAGGAACATTCTTAGAATCACAGGATGGTTTGGATTGGAAGGGACTTTTAAAGATCATCTAGTCCAACTCTTCTGCTCTAAGCAGGGACATCTTTCAGTTAGATCAGGTTGCTTAAAGCCCTGTCCAACTTGAATTTGAATGCTTCCAGTGATGAGGCATCCACAACTTCTCCTGGCAGCCTGTTCCTGTGTCTCACCACACCTCCTTATGTTCAATCTAAACCTTTTGTTTCAGTTTAAAACTGTTGTCCCTTGTCCTGTCACTACAGGCCCTGATAAAAGCCATCTTTCTTGTAAGCCCCCTTTATATATTGAAAGGCTGGAAGAAGGCCTCCCCGGAGGCTTCTTTTCTCCAAGCTAAACAACCCAACTCTCTCAGCCTTTCTTCATGGGAGAGGTATTCCAGCCCTCTGTGATTGTTTCCATGGTCCATTTCCACTGCTTCTTTTTGTATCATAACCTACCAAGTTCTGCTGACACCCTCTCCACCCACCCACATTTGCCAAGCAAAAGCAGACACCTTGTCAGCTGTTTCTCAGCCAGAGATACACATGCACATATATCCATACACATTGATTTGGATCTACATGGAAATGGACTGGGACTGTTCAGAACAAGAAGCCCATTTTAACACCTTCCACTTCCTCTGTTCTCTTACAGAGATATTCAACGTATTGGCATCACCCTCATTGGTCACCAGAAAAAGATTCTAAACAGCATCCAGCTCATGCGAGTCCATTTGAATCAGCTTGAACCAGTTGAAGTGTGATGTTTACACCATCCTTGTTCCAGTAGTCTCAAACTCTGGAAAGGTCCTGGGGGAATTCAGGGGAATATTCACTGTATGAAAAAGAGATGTGAATACACTACCTGAGGATTTAATGCACCTAGAGAGTGCACACTACATGTCCTGTTCCATGAACAAAACAAAGCCTTGCCATGATTTGAAAGCACAGCTGAATAACTGGTGGCATTTAAATGTGGCTGACATCATACACTGGAAATGGGTTGGGGGAGGGAAATTACTATAATATGGGGAGGAGATGGAATAATAGCTTGAACAAATCACAAGCACCTGTTGCATCTTCTCTGACAACAAAAGGTATCAGATATCTTTACAAAGCCATCAGCAGGCTTTATCTGTGGCTGGGAGCCCAGCAAAGCTACAAAGACATAATGAAGGCAAGAAAAAATAAACAGTTTTTCCAAAAGAATGACATCATGGTGTGAGAGATTATTACTGAGATGGAGATGAGCATCAGGCTATCACTTGGTATGCCAGCTTGGTCTGGAACTCAAGTTCAAATTAGTGCACACTATGTGGTAAGAAATAAGACGTGTCACCTGGTAAAGAGTCTGAGAGTAAAGGGCTCCAAATCATTTTCTATTTCATGTACAGTTCTTGGGTCTGCTCCATGATCTAGGAGGGAGACCTACTAGTCCTTTGTGCTGATGCAAAGAACAGCAAATTCTTGGTGCTATACAACTCTATGGGACTACAACAGAATGGAAGCATAAGGTTTCCTAGAATCCATTCTGCTGGATCTGCAGGTGGAGAGGGAAACAAATAGGTTCTGGTCCTCACAAGCCCATTCTTGAGAGGAAAGGCATAAGTTGTGATATTCTGAAATCCTGAGAACCCAGAATTTGGGTTTTGTTCTCTTCTGATCCCCTTGCAGACATTAAAGAGTGTGACAAAAAAAAACCTGAAAGCCTTTGCTGTTGAAAAATACATGTTCTTTTTGACATCCTAACCAGCTACATCAGTGGGCTCAGCTGGTTGAATATTGTTTCTGAAGAAAATGCAGACCTGCAGTAGTCTACTCCAAATAGTCAATTGGAACAAGGGAGATGAAAATCTTTCACAAGTTCTGGTCAATAGTAATCAGGAAAGAGTACCAGTCCCACAAGTCTCTTCAGTTCTTAAAAAAGGAATAACATTATCCTTGGGTTCAACTATGTTGTCTGGTATAGGTGCATAAGAATGACCAGAATTACAAAGTTTATGTCTCCATTCATACAGAGAAGTACCACCTTAAGGAAAGATCTTTGAGGAGGAAGAGAGCTTCAGGACTGTGTCTCTGTATCTATCCCTATGCAGGAGTATGAAAACATGAAGCTGATCTTGAGAGGAAAACATAAACTACACACTTGTCCACCTCACCAACATATAGGAAAGGAAATGGAAATGGCCTTGTCAATCAAGACTCCAGTGAAGACATTATGTAAAAAGATACCTTCTTTGTGTCTAGAGAGGAAATAACCCAGCTGTTCCAATTGGTGCCCATCTGTTGGCTCATTTTGAACCAGTCATGAGCTTACAGCATTTCTCCAGCTGTCAAGGTTAGAATAGCACAACTTCTGCAGATACTACTCCTGTATGAATTTAAGGATTCCCCCAGTCAATCCAGCAATTGAAGACTGAGAAGCCACATTTAATAGTTATTGAAGAGTCCCATAATATGATAGGAGGTGCTCCAGAATAGTTGCACTGGAACAGCCAACACAGTTCAGGCTCCTCATTACACCAATTGAGCAATATGATTGTAATATTTTTCTTTTTAGTTGAAGAGGGAGAATAGCAGTGCATTCTTTCAAGATATAAAGAAAACAAGAATAAAACATTCACTGCAGTACAAAGAGAGTGTGAAGATAAAAAAAAAAACCACATCAGACTAGAGTGAGTCCAACCCTAGAAATGTTGAGTCGATTGCTTTTTAAGGGGTTTCTGCAAACTTGTAATAATCACAAATCCAGATACATGTATGCTGACTGTCAGCTCCACCTATAGCATCTGAGACTGAACAAGCGTTGTCCTCTTCAGAAAGTGTATTGAGCACAAAATGTTGAGGGGAATCTGTTCGCTAGCACCTTCCATATGTATTCACCAGAGGACAACAACGCACGTATGCATATTTATATATGAGCATATTCTCGAAGTTCTGTGGGCCATTTGGGGAAACCCAGCAACTTATGTTTTCATGCTTTGGGTAGTCCAGATTAGTGGAGAAATTTGTGATCTAGTTCAAATCATATGGTCTGTTTTCAGTCTAATGGAAACATATACAGAAAATACTTTCTGTCTCTTCATGCAATGGTAGACAAAATGGGAGCCTTTTCTGAATCTCATACCAATGACAATGAGGTTTAATATCCTGTTATGGGGTGGCTGCAGTGAAGTGAACTGCTTGGTAGTAGTTCAGGCAGTAGGACATTTACTTTTGCATATGGAGTTTATAGCAAAGTTTTCAGTCAGAGGAAAGAGATTTATGGATAACTTTTCTTTAACAAGTGTCTCTATTATCTTAATTACTGGGGTGTTCCCTATTTTCAGAGTACTTCACCTCTTTCATAATTTGGGATGCAAAGGCTCTCATGTTGCAATGCTTCCTCTGTTGTTTGTGATCTCATTGGTCCTCGAATCTGCAAGCATGGAGGAAAAGCAGTCATGACAAAAGCATTACAGATATCCTGATCTTACTTTTCTCAATTGTGTGAAAGCAGAAATCTTACATTCTGTTTCCACAGACATCATCTGGGATGTCCTGCAGTATGTTAGCACCCTCAGCAGGTAGGGATGAGAATCAGGAAGGAAAGGAGAGAGACACTCACCTAGGAACCTGATATCCATCCTTTGCCAGAAGAGTGAGAAACAGTGCAATGGCCTTCATGGGGCCATTAAGCACTTGTATGAAAACTCAGAAGAGTCATGCCTGCAGTTGAAACAAATATATTACAGAAACTAATAGCTCTTCTTCCTGAACACCAACTTTTCACTATCTGGAAAGAGGAAGAAAATTCACCTTAAGGCAAGCTGTTTTGTAATTATTCCTGATGAGGTTCCTTGCACCTGCCTTTTTGGTGCGTGTTGCTGGGCAGTCTCCTAGACAGACAACTGGGTCTGCACCAGTATGTTAGTTAATATATTTTGCTGCCAAAGAGCATGTCAGGCAATCAAGTTCCCACCTATTCTGCTTGGACAGCCAAGTGGAATTCTCAGCCAGGAGCTGCATGTCTGTGCACTCCCTGCCTCACTAAGTCATGGCATGTTTATGTCAAAGGCAGGCCCTGCTCACCCAGAGTATTTAAAGACAAGCACGTAAGCTAAGATTTTTGCATCCATGCCTGAAACTGTGTTGAGGAAATGCTCAGTGACAGTATGACTTACACAGTTGATTTCTGTGTTTAGCATCCAGGTATCCTGGGTGCATGTACAGATGATATGGCTTGCAGTTCCTATTTTTTGTTTCAATTGGTTGGTTTTTAAAATTCAAGAATGTAATCTTAGTGCATACTTTGACAACATTACATTAGGGCTTGTTGAAGGAGCACAAGCTGCTTAATGATACTGAAGCGGAGCTGAAAGAGTCTGTCTGTCTAGTATAAATATATTCAGCACCTGAGAGTATCTAGAAAGAAGGAAACTGCTCTAGGTTCCTTCGTACCAGACAATTCACATGTTATTAAGCTCAATGAAACCCCTGGGTGTGGTGGGAAATTATGAGCAATTTACCTTTAATAAGCAAACAAAGGTAGAGCTGTCCCTACCACCATACCTCCTTTGGTCAGGGATTCCAGACAAAAATCTACCTGGGGGCTAGGCTAAGTGAAGGTAACCAGCCTGAATAGATCCTGTCTTTGACACACTTTCTCAGCAGTCAACTATACAGGTCTTATGCATACAGATGCAACTTAGCAATAGATTTGCATTCGGGACAAAACCAATTCTTCCCCTTCCCTGAAACCAACTGATGCTAGAAGGGGAAATGCAATGAGCTGTTCAGATGTATTCCGTACTAACAACTATTCATTAATATCGAGCATCCTAAGGATTGTAGATCACATGTAAATTTGCATCTCTGAATATTGTTAAAAGACAGCATGGAAGAGCAAACCTCATGTCCTACTAAAAAGCTAGACTAATGCTTCACTTTTCAAATTATATGGAAAAAATGGCAACTCCCTCAGAATTTACATTCTGTTGCAGCATTCAAGATCATCATGGTCAGTGTATGAAGTTGTTCCACTTTCGCGTTACTGAAAGGACTGCGCTCAGCTAATGAGGAATCACTGCGTTTTCAAGAGTGTGCAACTCCGACGTGTTCAAAGAGGAATTACTCCCCCTGGTGTTCTGCTACCTGAAACACGGAATAGAAGGATTAACTGCCCTGAAAAGGCCTTGTAGCTTATATATTTTATCTTCCTTTTCTGAGATGATGAGAAAACTCTCTTCCTGAAACAGTCTCAGTTGTAACACGCAGATTCATGAAAACATATCAAGATTTCTTTCTAGTTTCTTCCGTTACCTTTGTTGCTTGAATTAACAAAGTAATGTGGTCTTTTAGTCAACTGCTGCAAGAGCAAGTCATGAGTACAATAGGTTGACATCTTGACAACTGTGGCTCAACTAGTTAATAGAGTTTGGTCTGTTATTTATGTCTCTTATATGAAACCAAGTGTGCTTAACTAACAGCGATAATGCTGTTTGCTCCTGAAAACTAATCCCTTCAATTCAGGCCATGCTAAGTAAGGTTGAATTCTTTTCTAGTTTACAGTGGCACTAGAAATTATATATGCTGCTGGCTAAAACTAGAATTTTAGTTACATCCGTGCAATTCTCTTTTGTTGCATTTTGGTAACTTTTATACAAACCTACTACTGTCCATGCATTTGGACAACTGTAGCTGATTGATGATTTATAAAAAAATCTGTTGTTGAGAACAGACTGTAGTGCTCTTTGAACCATATTAACTCTGCAAATGAACAGGAGATTAAAAATAAGAAAATCAGGTTTATTCAGAGAAGTCAGTTAGTTTGACAGATATGAATGAAAAGTCACTATCTGAAATAAGCTATTTAAAAATAGATCTATTAGTGTTGTTCTGTTAAAAAGGACAGTAATTAGCACCCTAATGTCTCTACTATAAGTTGCAAAAATTTTGCTATTTTAACCTGTCATCTCTGCAGAGTCGCAAGAACAGACCAGCAACAACAATAATAATGATCATGAAAAACACATGCATCCTTCCCCAATGAAGAGAACTACAGTTAAAATAGCAGTTAAGTCCAACAGCTAGGTTGCCTGCAATTTGTACTGAGACGCAATGTATTCTTGTGGCATACGAAATACATATTATTGTAAACTGAAAGATCAATCTTATCAAACCTACCAATTAGGAAACTAAATGTCATCTTAGGGACATACTTAGGATCA